TGGTTCATTATTATTAAATACTGAATGACGCCTCGAAAAATGTGTAGTGGTGTCCCGTCATGAAGAAACCACAAATTCTGTCTCCGTTGTAAAGGCGTGTTGTCTAAGGTCTGTTCCAAAAGTTCTGGTAGGTTATTGGCTAGAAAGCTAAGGTATCCTCCTGACAACTGTGGGGGTAACTCGAAAGGGCCAATTACCTGACTGTCAAGAATACCCGCCCAAATATTTATTTTAAAACGTTGTTGGAAATCACCTTCACGAATGGTATGAGGATTTTCTCGGGCCCACGTGTGAGTATTATGGAAATTTGATATCCCGTCTCGCGTAAAAGTACATTCGTCCGTCGCTAGAATGTTTTTAAAAAAAGCCGGATTTTCAATGTTTTTGTGCAAAAACCACTGACAGAATGTTAGTCTGCGAGGATAGTCTTCTGTTAACAAGGCCTGCACTTGTTGTACATGGTAGAGATAAAGCAAATTTTCCCGTAGGATTCTATGGACTATGGTATGCGATAGTCCTTCGCGGCGGCCTAATTCCCGAGTGCTGATATCTGCATTGATTTCCACGATATTTAAAATTTGTTTCTCTTGTCTTTCACGAGTGCGAATATTAGTGGGCTGAACACTTCCTGTATCTCGAAGTCTTTGGTACACTTGCACAAATGTCCTTCTGTCCGGGTGTACCCGTTGGCGAAATCTGTCGCGATAAATTTGAGCTGCAAGATTTGAATTCCGACGAACTTCACCGTAAACTAACAACATGTCGGCGAACTCTTGATTCGAGAACATTGTAAATAAACACAACGTCGTACGCGAACAAAAACAAAACAACAGGCCCGATGCCCGATAACTAACCACTGTTACCGTTTGCGATCGATTGCCGGTTAGATAAGAGTGTTGAAAGGCCGACGCGCTGTTGTCATGTGTGTTTTAAATATTTCAGTTAATGAAACTTACTTACTGACTACAAATTTTAGCTTAACTTAGAAAAACTTAATGCCATTTATTTGTTAATTACCCAATTTAAAAACGTTTTAGACAGGTAATTGATTGTTTCCTTTTTCTGAGAAGCGTAATATTTTAAGCTTTCCTCTTTTTGGTGGTCAATGTTGTGAAGTGTGCCATTTAAATGTAGGTATTTTTTTCCTCTTTATAGTTTGTGTCAATGTTTTTTTTTAGGTCGGGTTGAAAAACAGAATAAGCTGACACTCCCACCTTTTCGTCGCTATTCCTTTTAAGCCTATTATTTTGTTAATCATGTGACGAATAAAGGCCATTTGTTATTAATTAGATTATAAAAGTTAGTAAGATAGTGGTCCCCCCCCCTCTTACCCATTTCAATAATGACTACCATAACGTTTACACCCTATAGTGTCTGTTTATAGGCGCTTTTCTTCATAAAAAACAATTGAACCATACATTCTGTTCTCAGAATACCATCAATCTTCCTTTATCCTATACATGCATATAACATCTCAATGACAATTTCACAAAGAACAATGCATTGTAAATGCCCATGTTTTTTATGAACTTCAGCCATCGATAGTGTTCACAGCCATTGTCTGCACCAAATGATATTATATTCAAGTCCTTTTGCAGACGCAGGCAAAAATCTTAATTATTAAGTATGAATGATATTCTGAAAGATATAGAATGTCATTACATGTATCGCAGGGCCATTTGTCATTGACAGCAGGAGATGTTGATAATAAATGTGGTTTAATATTTCATTTGAGTTTAACAATCAATATATTATTAAACAGCGAACCTAAGCCTTAACCTGCGTATGGTTCTGGAAGGTGGGATTTAGTCTTAGTGACATAGCAGAGGATAACATCAACTGAAGCCGAGGAATGTCCTAAAAAATTTAGCATATTTGAAGAAATGATCCTACTTTTGGACGGCATGGGTATTACGTGTCTCGAAAAGTGACACTGTCATTTTTGGCAGTATAGAGGTTTTTCGTGATATTATTGCCGCACGGGTATTATGTAAAAAACCTATAAAATGTAAAAAAAGTCATCTTGCAGACTAGGTAGTTTTTAGGGTGCAAGTAGTCATTCCACGTTTGCTCACTAGGATCGTTGTGAGCGTCCATCTATGGAGGAATGACTCAACTACACGCGTTGTTGGTTGCATACGTGTTGTGAAGCCGAGTAGTCTGTAGTTTTCATCTCTGATAAGAAAGTTGGTTGAATAGCAAAGATCACATGTGGATGAAGTATATCTATTAGCTGTGCCCGACGGGTTATTTATATGTTGTCCTTCCTGAAGACAGGTTATGTTCAAAGTTATAAACTATGATTTTTTAGGTTGGTTGAATATCAAGATCGTATCTGGATGATTATGTCTATTGGCTGCATGTGTTTAAAATCAGTGGTATTTGCTGTGTGAGAAAATCATTACTGAATATGCTGCCAATGTACATCTATTAGCTGTGCCTGACGGGTTATTTATATGTTGTCCTGTCTGAAGAGACGTTATGCTCAAAGTTATAAATTACGATTTTTTTGTGTTTTTAAAAACTTTGAGGAGAATTACAAAAAAATCATCACCGCACCCGCGTTGTGTGTAATTACTGTTAGCATGGCATGACTTGTAATTCGACAGTGTACAGTGAATATAACTATTTCTTATTTCCATTTTTTAGATTCCGCAATTTTGCATTTGTAATTTCCAGAATGGAAAACAAAAAGTCGATGCGCAACTAATTTCTAACTTTCTCAAGTAAGTGTGTTTGAGACAAGAATCCAATGGAATTATCATCAACACATATACTAAGTGACATATAAATCCGAACACCCAGTTTAAATGGTTTTATTTTAATAAAAGTTGGTGAATGTATTTCTTACTGTAAATAACAAGTGAAAAAATTTTCAGCCTCATCAGTTGGACATTCCGGTTTTATACTGCTTTTTTAATTTCACTAACGCTCTAAAAATGAATATTTCAGCCGCAGTAAAGAATCAATGTTGGCGGATTTTGGTTCTTGACATCCCTTACGATCGGTTACGATGCCTAGAGTACGGAGACCTGTACGATTTCGTCAACTTAGTGAGTTTGATAGGGGCCGTATAGTGGGACTTCGGGAAGCTGGACTTTCTTTTCGGGCAATTGCAGTTAGAGTGCAAAGAAGTGTAGACACTGTGGTTAGGTGTTGTCAGGCATGGCTTCGAGAAGGCCGTACGCAAAGAGCAAGGGGCACTGGACGCCGCCGTAGAACAACATACCGTGAAGATAAGATTATTGGCCTTAAGGGACCGTTTCTCCACTACCAGGTCCATTGCAAATGGATGGTTTGCAGAACACGGAAGACCTATTGGCATGCGAAGTGTTTACCGACGAATGAGAAGTTTTGGCTTGTTTTCATACCGGCCACACTGGGTCCTCCCTTTAATTCGAGAACACCAACGTAATCGCCTTGAGTGGTGCAGACAACGGTCACTCTGGGATCAGGAATGGAACAGTATTGTCTTTAGTGACGAGTCTCGATTTTGTTTAGGCATGCACGATGGTCGTGCCCGGGTTAGAAGGCGACGTGGTGAAAGGAGGAATCCACAGTTTTTTGTTGAAAGACATGTTCATCACACTGTTGGAGTTATGGTTTGAGGTGCTATAGCTTATGGTTCCAGATCACCTTTAATCTTCATCAGAGGTAACATGAACGCGCAGCGTTATATCCACGAAGTTCTAGAACCCCATCTTTTACCCTATCTTGACACCCTGGCAGATCCAACTTTCCAACAAGATAATGCATGACCACATGTTGCAAGAGTCACAATAGACTTCTTTCAACATAATGATGTCACATTGTTACCATGGCCACCAAGATCTCCCGACTTATCCCCAATAGAGCACGTGTGGGATATGATGGGTAGGAGATTGCTCAATTTGCAACGTCCTCCTCAGACTCTAGAAGCACTTCGAGAGGAGTTGGTGGTTGCCTGGAATGAGATACCACAGGAGGACATTGACCAGAAGCATGCCTAGGCGCGTTGGAGAATGCGTAGCACATCAGGGTGCATCCACACACTATTAAAGTCAAAGGGCTTTAAAGCAGTGCAATCATTTTAAAATTTTTATCATTTACTTATTATGCTTCATTAAGTACTTAACAAAATTTTATTAAAATAAAACCATTTAAACTGGGTGTTCGGATTTATATGTCACTTAGATAATAATAAATGTCTAGCACTTTGATTAGCCTGGCCAGAATATATTTGCCTGTGATGGGAAAATAATCTGATTGACATTTTTTGCATAATTTCATTCAAAAGGGCCCTTTTAGTCGCATGGTCCAAATTTGCGTCAACATTTTTTGAAACAATTATTTAAACAAATTCCAAAATAGTTTTTTTCACTGGTGGTGGTTTAGGTTTTTAGAGGCATTCTGAACAAAAAAGGTGATTTCGACCTTTTCTCTAAAGTTGATAGTTTCCGAGCGACATTATATTTGAATTATGTACCATGTACCATCTAGCATCTTCGCAAAAAAAATTCAATTTTGTTAAATATCTTGTTAGTTGAGACACGCTAGCTGGTACTCTCCGCCGTGGCTGGCGGCCGCTCCTACATGTTGTACCTCGCGTACTCACGCAGAGTTTGCACTGAGCGCGCGCTTGGTTAACAATTAAAAATGTTTACAATAACAATACCTCATCAGAAGCTTTGTGATTTTGTTAATGGTTGCTTGAAGAATATTTAGGAACATTGGCAACATTAAACTTTCATTTTTTAAATTGTTTTTTGGGGTCGAAAATGGAATATTTCGCACTTTTTTTAATGAAAAAAGCTTTTACCGTAGTGAAATAAAAAACAAGTTTTGAAATTTCTAAAAGAAAATGTTCAAGAAAGTTTTTAGTGCAAATTTGGGCCTGGCAACGTGCAGATTCGCTAAAAGGAGATCTTTTTGTATATTATACAAAATATCCGAATCAGAATATTTTTCCCATCAGATGCGAATATATCGCCTGGACTAAACAGAGTATTACTTTATTCTATATGGTCCAGACCTTCTGCAATCATTGGCAACTCAAACCATAGCATCCGTCTACTCTGTGAACTTGTTCAATGATGAAAGGGATGATGTCATCAAGAAGTGGAATATGCTGCAAGCGTGCTGGGGTAGCGGGAATGGCTACTACGCACCAGGTCAGCCTCCAGTAGAATATGTGCCTCTAAACCCGTTCTAACAGGTTCAAGGCGATGGGGTATAATGTCATTCCTGAGCACGACAATTCGGACGGCATTGTACGGATCATTTTTGGGAAGAAGATCGACGAATTGAAGTGAGTATTATTCACTTTCTGTGAGCACCAGAATCGGCGGCATCTAGCGGCCATATTGGTGATATGGCTGACAATGCGAACTGGGACTAAGTTCCAACAGACATCTTGCTGTTTGTCATAAATTCTTTAAGCTTTAAGTCATTGGAATAATTCTTTCAGATTTGTGAAAGATACCACTTATATTATTATATGCAAGTGAAACCAGTAGTATTTTTGACTATAGGAAACTTCCTAATTTCATGAAAGGCACTGATATAAGTCAAGTCACTATTTGTATCTCATCATTTTATTTAAATAATGTATTGTTAGTTCTCTGTAACACACCAACAAAATGTGCATTTATATTTCATTTAATAGAAATCAGCAAGAGGTATTGAAGAATGGAATAGCTGGAATCCTAGGCAACAAGCCCAATCTCACAATCGAAATAATCCAGCTGAGGGCCCTTACTGAATCTCAAACTGAATTGAAGGTTACCGTCACCGAGAAAGGAGTGACAGGAACCGGTCGCAAGATACCCGCTACAGACTTGGCTGCGTTCTTAATCAACCACAGCAGAAACAGCAGCTGACAAATGTTGGAGTTACCAGTATAACGCCTTACGTCACTCCTAGCAAGGCAGAGTTAGAGGATATTTGAGCATCCCCCATCAGGTAAAAATTAGATTATAAGAAAAGGCTGTAGGCGAAATATAAAAATTGCTCCCAAAGATATCCAAACCTTAACTAAATTTTTTGATCGAATGGTCTGCTCTAGGGGCCCTTAATCTCAGGAACGTGTTTTCGAAAATAGTTTTATACGGGCTCAATTTTGCTCAAAAAGTTTTGAAAAAATTACCGTTGCTATATTCATAATCCTACATGCCCTTGATTTTTTTATAGATTTGTGGAACTTATAGGTTAGAGAGAAAAAAAAAATTAAATATTTTTTGAGTTTTGTAACGAAAATTTCGTAGACTTAAAAATCCACTGTATATCAATGCTTTTTGGCGTTTTTTTCAGATCCACTAACAAAATCATGAATTTTTGTCGAGACAATCGTCAAAAATCGAAAAAACCGCAACTTCTTACATTTTAGGATATCATAGCTTGACTAACTTGAAAACTCCAGAAACATGTATTTTTGCCCATTCTTCCAGGTTCCATTGACAAAAAGCTATGATATTCTACTCTAAAAATACCTAGAAAAGATCGGTAAAAATGCTTTTTCGATTTTGACAATTTTGCGGACAAGAAATCATCATTCTAACAACGAAACGGAAAAGAACGTAAAAATGAATCTATACAACGTATTCCTAGGTCACCCAACTATCCATTTTCTGGCCGAAAGCGTCAAAAATTGAAGAGAATCAGCGGAAATGTGCTTTTTCCCTATTTTCTCAATTTTCCTGGAAACAAATCAAATTTTGATTGTGGAACCTAAAAAAATGAAAAAAAACATATAAAAGTTGAATTTTGAAGTTGGCCACCTTATGACATCCTACGTTTAAAATGTCAAAAATTGGAGAAAATCTGTGAAATACGGTTTCCTGATTTCAGCGATTCTTCTGACACAACCAGCTTTATTCTTTGATGGGGGAATTAAAAAACTTTCTATCCAATGCGAAAAGTGCATGAATAAGAGAGGAGATTATGTAGAAAAATTAGATGTAAATAAACTGTATTTACTATACCAATAAAATTACTAAAACAAAAGTTCGGTTCATATTTGATTTACCTTATACATACTGTCATCTTTGCACCATTACGTTCCAGCAGATTTAATTTTAGAGAAAAGGCGGCCGCAACATATATGGCAGAAGCACTGTATAGTTGTTTTGTTGTTATCTGAGCTCAGTGACAGTACTTGTCAAACTAATCTAAGGTTGTTGTTGAATGCAGAATATCAAATTTTTAGAAGTAGTATTGCCTTGTCACATTTGTTGACCGACTTTCTTGTTCTTTATAGGCATCGATATCAGATGTGGCTAGCAGCTATTCAAGACAATCCGAATCCTAAGAAATATATTCCGGGTGCCAATAAATGGCTTTTCGGACCTGAGGTCGCGTATGCTCCATCAAGAATATCAAACAGGTCTACATCAAGCCTTCCTGGATAAAGTAAATAAGGATATAGCGGATCTTAAAACAAAACATTCCTCTTCGATAGCACAAATCACCGAGTTGAAGCAGAAGTTCCTGGAGATGCAGCATCGTATTCTGAGGGTGCGTAAAAGTGTTAAAATTTTGATGATACTTCATAAGTTTTATTAAACGTGTCGCTTGTCACGCCACAATATAATATTTATTGCGGACTGCTTAATATTCTCGCCGATTGCTAAAAAATATAGACCTATCTGCATTCGGATTTTTGCAAACATCTCGGAAATTTTCCATGTTGCCTGTATTTCAATGGAAGCTAGTAAATCTCCGAAAATGCTTTCTATCTGTACACCAAAAGTACGAAATTCCTGGCAGTGACTCATCGCTGTTACCTAAGGTAGCTGCGCTGAGCAGAGGGGTGGAGGGGATTATTCCATGTGCGTACGAACTAATTTTTATAAAAGGTGTTAATATATGAAAATTAGTTTCCAGGGGGAAGTGTTGCATACACGTTCAAAATTTCACGTATCATCGAATTATCTAAGAAAAAAGTAAACAGTTTAAAATCGCAAATAACAACTGTGCCGAAATCACTACTAAAAAAACGTGCTGAAAAACTGTTTCGAAATTTTGGGATATCCTGTATTAAATTGGATCAATTGTTCACTGAGAAGCAGTTCTTTTCCTGAAAATTTGAAATGCTCTACAATAACCCAGTTCCCAAAATAAAAAATTCTAAAAGATGCAGCGATATGAGACCAGTAAATGTGTTACCAGACATTGAAAAATTATTAGAGTCCATAGTGCATGACCAATTAATGCAGTTTATAGAAGAAAACAAAATTTTAGTGGAGACGCATGCAGGCTTTCGAAAAAAATGTCCACAGAAACGGCTTTCCAGTTGGTAACTGAGAATTGGAGAAAAGAGAAGAGACTTAGAATAAGTTGTCATAGCAGTATTTTTGGATTTGAAGAGGGCATTTGAAACAATTGATAGAGATATGTTGTTAGGTAAATTGAAGGCATATGGTGTATCAGGAAGTGTTTTAGAGTGGTTTATAAATCATTTATCTAAAAGGATGCTCGTTACAAAAGCTAATGACACTATTTCATCAAAATTGAAAATACGTTGGGTGTTCCACAGGGCAGTATCCTGGGACCACTTCTTTTTATTTAAACATAAATGATTTACCTGCCACAGTAAAAAAAAAACAAAATTCAGATTTTCGCCGATGACACTATAATTTATATAAGTACTAAAAATATTCAGACTGGTAACTCTTATATAAATGAAGACTTGAAACTTGTCTCAAAATGGTTAGCATCTAACAGACTAAAATTAAATACAAGTAAAATGAAAGCTATGTTAATCGGAAAAAAAACAATGTACAATGTTCAACTGAATATTGATGGTGAAGATATTGAATTCATAAAAAATTTTTAAATACCTGTTGGTTTTTGTTGACTTTCGATTAATTTTGATATTCATTTTGAAAAAGTTATAATAAGATTAGTAGTAAGTGAGATATTTATCAAGGGTTTCTAGATGTTTGAGTTCATCTGGCAGAAAATTATCTATAATACCATCATTCTTCCAAACTTCTTGTACTGTTCGACTATTCTATATTTAGCAAATAATTCCATTTTTGAAAGACAGCAAATTTTACAAAATAAGTGCATGAGAATAATACTGAATAAAGATAAATATACTCCAATTAGACAAATGCTTTGCAAATTGAAATGGCTCAATGTAAAATTTTTATCAAACATCTTGTAATGATATTCATTTATAAAGTAAATATAATATATTTCCATCAAGTCTAACTAATTTAACATCATCAAATGTCGACCCTCATTTACATAATACAGAAATAAAGATGACTTCCATTTAATGACCAAAAAATATATCATATGCTACAAATCTGTATTCTATCAAGGGTTGATTGAATATAATAAATTATACACAGAGATAAAAGACGAGAAAACATTGACAAAATTTAAAGTAAAATTGAGGAATCACTTGTTAAATGTACAATTATATATCATATGGCTTGAATTTACTAATTCTAAGTTGTTTACAATTATTCTGTTTATGTAGCCAAATGTGCTAATAAATCTTGTACTACTACTACATATAATAGCGAAGTGGTTCATTTATATTTATTTATTTAACCAGATATTTAACAGTGTGAATTATCATGACGAATAACTGACAATATTTGGTATATATATATATATATATATATATATATATATATAATGTATGAATAATATAAAAATGTATATATAATAAATATATAATGGAACACCCAAACTTATCGAGACTTCAGTGTCAAACATAATAAAATTATTATCAGTTGTCAAAAACACAAAAACAAAATTATAATAAGATCTAAAAATCAATGATTATTCAATATCGGTGTCATCACTAGACGAATCAGAGTCGTGGATATTTAATTCAATCACAACTGGTTCAACAATAATGTCAATGTGAGTGTCCAGATCCCACATTCACTGCTCGTCCTTGATGACGTGTGGAATACATTTTTGCCAGTTCTCGCAGGATACGTTGTTGATAGCATTTTGTAACAATAACTTGACATCCGGTAACTTGAAGGTTCGTGTTCCTTGCTATTTCGCCTTTGAGTTGCGCCCATATCAACTCAATTGGATTTAGTTCACAATGATAGGGTGGTAAGCGATGAACAATAATGGCATGCTGGAGAGCCATTCATCTATAGCATACAATACTCGTATTGACGTCGGTTTCTTTTGCCTAGCGATATTAAGGAGTTCAATTCTAAGCATTTGTTCCTGGTATGTAATGTTTTTTGTCTTGAGCGAATTTATTATCTCACTTTTTCGCCATGAACTAGTAGGGAACTTTTCTAGTCGGCGACTGTGATATGGAGCATTAAGGTTGATTCTCACTATACATTCCGGTTCCATTCCATATCACTTTCGTAAACGTTCAGTACAATTTGATTGTATACACAGTATACCTTACGGATAATGTGGATACACATGCAATAGCCTGCTTTATGCGAATATTAGTTTCAATAATTTACGGAACGGTTACGGAATGGAAACGGAATGTATAGTGAGAATCAACCTTTATCCATTACCACGACTGAACCAGAAGGGATATCCCTCAAAATGCTTTTGAACCATGCTTCAAATCTGTTTCTTTGGACTTAAATGTCAGTAATCCTTTGTCCAGAAGCCCTTCATCGCTGCCAGTATGTGTTACATAAGCCTCCGCCCTTTACCTGAAATAAAGTTTCAATAAATTCAAGCGTCTAGGAGAACAGTAATGAAGCATATTAGTCTTCTAATTGACCGTACTTTACATTACTTTCTTGTATTTCCTTTTTTTCTGATAAAATAAAAACACTTTTCATCCGTTTAAGTCACGAATCCGTTTATCTTTGTTTTTTTTCATGAGTTAATGGTTTTCAGGGTTTTATAGAGCCCTGAAGAAGGCACTAAATTATTAAACATAGGCAGCTCTGTAACAGAAAAACTGTTTCTTTGGATCCCAAGTCCATTTAACTAAGAAAAACTAAATTAAGTTTTTAAGACCTGGGAATTGAAACGTATAATCCGATTATGGTGATTAGCAATGGATTGGATAATAATGGATATACAGGTATAATCCTTTAGTGAAAGTGGCAAGGTATTCTGATTGTCTCCTAGAATCCCTGGGGTCATTAAAGTAGGATTATAATTATTTACATTATATATGTAGGAAACCAAAGATGCAGATGTCCAAAATGAATAATACTGGATTATAAAATACACAACAGTTATGACCTAGAAAAAGTCCAAACTTACCTGTAGGTGCTTGAAGGCCTGTTGACGACTGGTAATATTCATATCTTGCCATACCTTTGGCGTAGTGTATCCCCATTCACCCACGTTTCATCGAGATAATATATCTTCCTATTTTCGTATCTGTACTTCCGCATTTCCGCTAAGTACTTACGTCGCCACATCACAATTTCTTCTTTTTCAATCAGACATGACTTCCTCGTCCGCTTCAAATACCTAAAGTTCAAATCATGGATCGTTCTTTATAGAACCCTCATAGAATTTTCGGAATACTGTCGTCCTTTTCCATTTCAGCAGTTTTTTGTATGTAGGCATCCGTTTCGGAAAAAAAAAGAATGTATGTGTCTGCGAACAGCATATTTGGTATTTTTATCCAAAACGATTTTCTTCCTTCCCCTCGTACTACCACTAGTCGTCGGATGTTCTTCTCGGTTAGTTGAAGTTTTTCTATTGATTATCCGAAAAATTGTTCTTTCAGACACTTTTGTTAGGAAGCTACAAAGTAAAACAGCATCCTGAACACCTAATGTCTTGTCGCGCGCGCCCGAATGATCCGCGAGTTGTCATGTTAGCAGTGGGGTAGAGACAACGGAGATATACACCAATCCCGATCATCGGCTGCCCGATACCTGACAGAGTTGTCATGTGGTCCTTATAGTCGGCAATTTCACGTTCGAAACTACCAAACTGATAACTTACCAACTCCTCTCTCGTCATTCAGAGTAGAAATTTTACATTGTGTCACATTCATAGTCCTACTACCATTTGTCCATCTGAATATACGTTTCTCAGTTCTTACTAGTTTTACATCATAATTATAGTTTTTTAAATGGATAGGTAAATTCATTTTGAAATCTGGCAACTGCTGCTTTTCGAAAGCATAGATGAGTCACTGCCAGGAATTTCGTACTTTTGGTATAGTTGTAATTAACTACCTATTAATAAGTTAACAACAGGTACTTAGTAATATACATGGTGTCCGCAAAGTTGGGGTTTCCTTTTCAGAAAGAACTACGCTTGATATAACAAAGCTAATGCGTGGTGAAACGTGAGCGAACAAGTAAAAAAAAATTAAAAGTACTCACTGTTCAGTTGAATTCTACGTACGGCTCTGTCTCAAAATCCGTACTTACACATTACCTTACATCGTAATCAAATTCAAGCGGATAACCAAATGAAAATGGTATTTACCGATCCGTTCAAGCGAGTGTGGTTATCAGTTTAGTTATAAGATCCGTGACGTCATGAATCAGCTGTTATATGTCATAGTTATCAAGGCAAAATTGTGGTATTTACCCAACTCTGGAGTAGTTATATATTTCTGGTTATTATTTGAAATGTGACAAGTTAGAATTTTGCCGGGTATTGGATATTGTTATTGTACTTCAGCTTCATTTTTGGGAAACTTTATACTCATTACTGTTGTTGGGAACACTTCAATCTAGTTCCTATGTTTAACAAAGTATCCTGTGTAGCCATATACCACAAGAATATTAAAATATGGCCATATAAACTCACTGGATGATGTCCACCTGTATGCGCGGTTTTGTTAATATCTTTTTTCGTTTTTTTCCTATCATTTCTGCTAAATCAATAAATATTTTCTTTTTAACATGCGGAAAAGTTTAGAGAATTGAAAGTTATCATAGCTACAAAGCCATGGTTCCATCATAAAATATTTTTTTCTGACAAAAAAACATTTCTCCCTTTAATATTATGAAAGGTTGCTTTTTGAAACTTTCCCTACATCGTTATACACGAAAAAGCACCGATTATTAAGTGATAATAAAAATAATCAGAAATTATATACGGGCTTTTCTAAAATAAACAACTTGCAACAAAACCGCGGTTAAAACCAACGCATTCAAGCGATTCGTGTAACTGATGTCATCAACCCGTCTGTCATCTTGAACCATATTATAACCGCGGTACATAACACAGAAATTTTGGTTATTCGCTTGGATTTGATTCGTGATCGTAGAAAATACGTTGTAAACTGTACGCTGGTGCTCTGGACGTGATCGAAGGATAGGACAGGACCGGCTTCGGTTTGGTTCAGGTTTGATTGAGTTTGCGGAGCCCAATATGTCGGTTCTCTTAAGACATTGTACTTAGTACCTATATGTTACTAAGAAAATCCGCGTATTTTCTCAAGATCTACACGTCGTGTAAAAGAAAAAACCCCAACTTTGCGGACACCCTGTATTTTCCATGACGTGATGGGAGAAATTATTTGTTATTAGATTATTTTTAGCGAATATGCTATATGACAACTAGTCGGGTGACTCTGAAGCATCAACAATTGACAACATCGCATACGTAGTTATTGTATAAGATGCGTAAACCCTTCACTCATAATTCGAATGTGAGTTTTCGTGTTGACCAAGCAACTTGTCATTGGAGTTTTCTTCATTTTCTGCATCGTTATGCAATTCATAGTTGTGAGGCACTACTATATACGTAAAACTATAGCCCACAAATATAGGTTATGTTTACGTTTTATTTTCGGTTCCCAGTGGCGTGACTGTTTTTCCCCTAATCCCAAGTCGGATCTTTTAATGATTTTGGACTCCGATTTTTGCACAATGTTCAATTTATACATGTGATTTTAATTTTTTTATTCATACCCCATTTTAGTTATATCCGGGTTATGCGAATATTATTTTTCAGCGTTCCTGAAACTAATACAAACTTCATATTTTCTCTGCAATGCATACTTTTTGTGGAATATAATGAGCTACATTTTTTTTCTCTTCATTCCTCTTGATAGTTTGATACTCCCGAACTGTACATATCGATACTATAAATCAAATCAAGCCTCTGCAAAAGCAGCAAGATACATGTTTATTTCAAGTGTGAGACAACTCAGTGCCGTCAGTTTGGGCTATTGGATTAATAAACTTGTAGAGTTGAATTCTGTTCCTGAGCTGACATATAAACTATTTCTTTTTTCACTAGTAACTCATAAAATTACCATTACTGACCGCAATGCCTTATTGAGAAGTAGCATTTATCTCCCTGAGCGAAAAACTAGACAAGGATTCAATTACATAATTCTGTTTTACTGTATCAAATAAATTAAATTAACCTGACAATGTGTTAGTTGATTTATATGATGTACCGAAGAAGTGGGCCCCATTGAAAAATTGCCGATCGGGCTCTTTTTCTTAAATCAACCACTGAACATTATTAAAAAAAAAATGTTCGTACTGCTGTATCCGTCACTAGATCGCGCTTCGAACGTATGGCCTTGCAAATTATATCATCGGGTTACTTCCAAAACCAGACAACTTACATTTTTATACTAGTGAAATATGAGGATTTTAAACTTTGTTCTTAGATTAAAAATCAAACAAAGAAATTAAATACTTTTTTATTCATAAATTAAATTCTTAACGGAAGTCTTAAGAAAGCGGTAATTAAAATAATCATAACATTTGGAAAACTAACCACCCATTAACAAAAAACACATTTTTTTTCTTGCACTTGTCTTTTTTTTGATTAGCTATTTGACTCTTCATATGACGGTTTTTCCTGGGGATCAGAATCCTCTGCTGCTGATCCTGTAATATATCATTTGCTTCTTTGGAGTTTGGAAGCGATTTGTAATAATAATAATATTCCTCAGGATTAACATTACTTTTACAAAGTTTAGACTTTTTCTTTATTGAGTCAATATAGGTATACTTTTTATAAACGCATCTGTTATTTTTATTTGGGTTCCTTCACCCAAAACTTTCGTTTCCATATAATCCAATCTACGATCGTCCTAATATCTAACGCTAGGACTTAGTATTCTTGGAACACTTGATTTTAAGCCAGTAAACCTTTTCGCCCGAGGTATTCTTCAATTTATCTTTCATTAGCATTTCTTAATATTTTCTAAATTCAAAATTCTTTACATTTTAATTCTTTAACATTATACGGTTTTTTATTCAATCTCGACGTTCTGGCCATGTGGAAAATTGTGAATCAGTCCTGGATTGTATAAATAGGAACTAACATCTGCGACCACATTAAATGCACTGTGCATACATTCGACTTCCATATAGCTGTGCCCAGTTTCTAAAAATGTTTGCACTATTACTTGAATATTTGGATTAATTTGGACCATGCACTCGAGAAGAGCACTAATATGATTGATCGCTTCACGTGTCCGAAAACAGCGATATTTCGGTGACATCAGATGTATGTAATTAGATAAACAGGCGCCCAATTTCTAAGCTACCTCTTTCCATTTAGCTCTGTCCACAACTAGCAAAATGCTCAGTTGGGAGGGGCCAGCAAAAGCCATATATCTACAACAATTCCTGATGTCGATTCACAAGTGTTAAAAAAAAAAAACGACATGTGGTAATTATGTTATTCTGACTCCAAAATTCTTACATCAGCACTAAAACAAAATGACTTATGACTTATGACTTATTTTAACTCTGTTAGAAAACTAGCTATGTCCTACGGTAATTTGAATGACTTTTAGTCGCAAGTGTTTTAGCTGCCTTTAACAGCCTAATGTTGCATTTAACGTATTTGTGGAACACGCGTACAACTCTCTTCCTCTTAATATGAAGATATCTGGTTTTGCCAAATCACAGATTACACCATTTTAGATAGAGAACTGCACTTAACCCAAAAATGTACTTATCTTGTTTTGGCAGTAACCCGACGATATGTTCCCCAAAGTCGGCCATTTTCAGGCTTTGTTTGCACGCGCACTCCCTCCTGGCCCATTGACATGAGCCCAACGACTTATTTTTGATTTTATGAATGAATCAAGAGATCGAAATTTTTTAGTAGTGATATTAATAAAAGTACCGTGTAGTAGTATGACTTGCTAATACAGTCTGCTTCTTTATATTGATCGAATTTTTCGTTGTAATTTGAATGTATGCTTATTTTATTACTGCAACAGTAAAGGAGTGATGATTTTATCTATTTCGCAAGATTTAAAACAATTTTCATTATCTTCTAGGTATTGGTCAAACAAGAAAGTACAAGAAAACTAGGAATAGCCATACAACCTGAAGAAGAATTGTTACGAGGAAGATTCGAGATGATGCATACCCAGCTTAACAACCCCAAGCAATTTAAGGTGAGTATGATTTCCATGTTGGATTTGTAGTTTGAGTATATTATATTTCACAAAAATATGATAGGTCTAACTTCTGGATTGTAGAGTTTCAATCTCCGAAAATTTCTAAAGGGCCTTGGCGCGTAAAGGGGGTAATCGGCCTTTTCACTTGTTGAAATCTCACTCAGCTAGGCTTGTTGATAATAAAAGACGCAATCTTTTCCTTTTTTTTATTTACTTAGGTGCTTCAGAAACTGTTTTATTGAATCACGAAATGTTTCGTTTTTATCAAATACCTCAGCCATTTAGAAGACTTAGTTTTTCTTGCGCCAAATTAGAGGTCTCAGAAGAGGGCATTCTTTCTTATTTTTTTTTACGAGAAATTCACTGTTTATAAGGCTTTAAGAATTTTCGTTCTTTTTAACAAGACCTATTGACTCATATTATGATTTAAAAAAGTATAATTTTGTGATATGTCTTTAGTTGATTCACCTTTCATTCAAATCTGAACAGTACTTTCCAAGTCTAGTAGCTAGATTTCGGTATTGAGAAATTAGCGTACTTTAGAAAAATATACTGAGATACCCAGTAGATTAGTTTTCTTCTACATCCGAGGTTTTTAAATATGGAGATGATTTAGCGTACAAGATCACATCACTCACAAAATATTATAGTCTTGCATGTTTTTCAGTTTTGTTTGGTGGTTGCTTGTGACGCTGTGAAATACCATAACAACTGGAACTTATGCTGTGGTATTTATGTTAGTCTCGCCGCTAAATGAAACCACATATGTAGGAATGATTATTTACTGACGTTTTTAATTCGTTCGTTGATGGCTTCGTTCCAACAAAGCCGTGTACCGTACAGTGTACCGTCATGAGCGTGCGCAGTACGTTTTAGTGTCACTTACACGGCTTTGTTGGAACGAAGCCTATAAAAGCCACCGAGGTGACCGAAACGTCAGTAATCATTCCTGCATACAGGGTGAGTTTTTAGTGTGTGTCGATACCTTGGTTATTACGCATGATATCTAAAAAATAGTTACAAAAATTTCAGCCAACAGTAGTATGTTTCTGACTTGAAAAATATGTTTATCTTCATAGGATGATTCGTAACTTTGTGATGACACAAACAATTCTTTTTCGATAGAATGTCCTACGTTTCATCTAAGATTTGGATAGGTTCTCTTAAAAAAAGTAATTTGATGTAATATACTATGGGGGTTTCTTTTCAAATTGTTGAGATATTCGAAATCTATTGAAAAAAAAACTCAACTTTGACAACTTGCACCTCCGCTAGCAGGAGTAATGAAAGTTTCGTTGGAAACATTTTGTGATCCCATATTTGCTCTCGATCTATCAAGTAACCAAATAAGTTCGGTTTTTAGTAGAAGAATATAAATTTTTATTGAGAAACAATAAGGCACTATTTATTCGTCGAAGTAATTACCATCACATTCAATGACCTTTTGTCAACGGTGTACCAATTTTTGTATGCCGGTATTGTAGCACTCCCTGGATTTGGAGTAAAAAAATCGGTGGACTGCTTTTATTACACCATCTCGAGTTGTGAATTTTCGGTGCCTCATACAGTTCTCAAGAGACAAAAAGGTGATAATCACTGGGCGAAATGTCGGGAGAATATGGCGGGTGCGGTAACCTCTCCCAGTCGAGTTCAGAAATTTTTCTGGGGTCAGTTTTGCGGTATGAGGCTAGGCGTTATCCTGCAAGAATATCACTTTCTTCCGATCGATCAAAGAAGGCTGTTTCTGGATGAGTGCTGCTTGTACTCGTTGAAGCTGCTCACAATACAAGGTAGCAGTGATGGTTTGACCCCTTTTCAAAAACTCATAATGGACAATTCCAGTTGCTGTCCACCAAACACACAACAAAACCTTGTTTGGGTGCAAGGAAACCTTGGGCGTGTGTGGTACCGAATCACTAGGCGACAACCAATGTAACGAACGCTTAGAATTCGAATACAAGATCCATTTTTCGTCGCAAATCGTAAGACGACCTAATTGTTATCATTTGTCAGTTCATGTGGGACCATTTGCTTAACTTCCACGTCTTTCCTAGCTGATGAAGATGCAAACGAATAGTTTCATGACTCACACTGAACATTTCTGCAAGTTCTTGGCACGTTGTCCCGGAATTTGCGTGCACAACCTGTCGAAGATCCTCGTTGTTCATGAACAACCTGTCGAAGATCCGCGTTGTTCATTATTTTTGGTTTCCCTGAGCGCGGTTCATCGCTCAACTAGACTCGACATACGCATAGGCATACGACTCTTTTCTCTGAGCTCGCTCATTTCGTTCATCTCTCTTTAGTGAGTCGTTCGTTCAGAGTCGTTCATTTGAACGATACGATTACCCACCGGCCTCGAAGCTGACGAGATTATTGTGTTGCCTATAGTAACGACTCACTGCGTCAGAGAATATACATCATACTATGAAAATGAAATGAAGGGTTGGGGTTGCCGATGTTATTGTATTTATTTAACTATTAATATTTTTGGTTGGAATTGAATATAACGAATGTATACTGTCTTCCGAAAAAAGAAGGGATATGTCGTCCAGTTTTGAGGAATTACCGAATTCTAAATCAAAATGCAATTTTTGCTCTCAAATCCCATCATTTCAACGTATAATTTAAAGAGATATCTCAAACAAAACAATTTGGCTCAATCATCGCTCACTTAAATGAGTCGTTCATTTTGAACGACTCGTTCGCGAACGACACATGACTAGCTCAAGCTGAAATCTCCCGAAGAATTTTTTTTAAACTACTTCTGTGCTGTTTGATCACTAACGGCATCATCTCCGAATGCGGTACATATTTTTCGCACCACCGCAATAGCTGCATTGTACCAAGTTTGTACTCATACAGTAAACAACTTCGAATTACTGTTTTATTCGTCGCCATTTTCAATTATTAAAACTAGGTATGTAACAATTTTTAGCGACTTTTTGTGTGTGAGAAAAGAAGGATTCATACTAAAGTGACACCAGGTAACAAACAATCGCTATCGATCAACAACATCCATGGCAATGTGCGATATACAGCAACCGCACTTTTCAGTTTTTTGAACAAGAACGAGAAAAAATGATCTAATTCTCAGAATTCTCAGCCGGATCACCCGGTGTATCCAGACATTGTTCGATTACTCGTTTCACAAGTCTTTTCTGATATTAGGTTTGTGAGTATTTGTACGATTGATTTTTGAGTTACTAAAAATACAAGGACACCTTCTTCACTTTTCGTCTGTATTGCATAAGGCTGGGTAGATTTAATTTATAATCAAAATACACCAGTTCTAACGATCTGCTGTTTCAAACTAAATATTATTTATCATTTTGAAATGTATTGTAATATTTCATTAAAAAATCTTGTGAAAAGGTGAGTCAAAGAGTGAGAAAATGTTTGATAATAATCTTGTCCAACTGTTAATTTTGTGTTCTTGAATACCCTGTGAAGACTATAAAAAAACTGAATAAGTATGTGAATATGGAGAAAATATGGGATCATGAAATTTATCTAGCAAAAGTCAGTACTCTAACTGATGAGGCGGTGCGAGTTGTTGAAGTTGGGTGTCTTTTTTTCGATAGATTGCCCAATATCTCAACAATTTAAAAAACCAAACCCAATGTTCACATACAATTGTTTCGCTTCAAACGGCCTATCCGAATTATACAATAAAATGTAGGGCTTTCCATTTAAAAAAAAATATGTTTGGGTCACCACCTAGTTATGAATCATCCTGATTTTTTTTAGGTAATATGCACCATGTATGCGTTTCAGAGTTTTATATCTTTTCTTATTTTAATCGAATAGAATATTAAGTAGATACTCCATACGTCCATACACCAGCCAATGTTATTAGTCACAATAGTGGATAGGGCAACAATGGTGATGATATACAAGTTTTCAATCAAAAAACATGTTCCTTTATATAATAAAATACGCTTTTTTAAAACGATTTAAAATTGCTGAAATATCACTTACCTCAGTATAACTATAATATTCTTACTCAGCAATTCAAACGATTGGGGATATTACAAAAATTTAAACAGCAGAAGAATGAGGAAATGCACAAGTCTCATATCTTGGAACACGCGTTTTGTGGTGATTTGTTAAAAATGCGAGCAGGTAGATTCACACGTTTCGTAGTTTTAATGAATGCTAAGTGACGTCAATGCAATGCTGGTTAAATCATCCGCATCTGATTGGTTTTTTCATATTTCAACAGAAAGGAAATATATTTTTATCATGAACGAAGATCTTCACACAAAAATCAATTATTTGTATGTCGAGTTTCAAATAAGTTGTCGGCTTTGAAGTACGATGATTGAATTGTTGTATTTTTTGCAATAAATATTCATCTTTTTATGCTTAAACATCATAGATAAATTAAAACAAATCGTGTAAATTGGAGATTTTAATTTCCACGCCAGTTGGCGAGGAAGTATTATAATCTATACTATTTTTGAGTTATATCATTCAAAATTTATTTATCTCACATAGAGTTATTTTATTTTTCAAAAAAGTTTAGTATACATAGCTGCTCGAAGCCGTCAATGCCTGTCTGCCTCTTGGCTTAAGTTAGTTCTCATTAAGCTCTCCGGAGGAGAGTAATTTTATTTATTTGTGTCAGATATCTGGCATCGATCCCATTTTATTTGTGCGAGCATCGGATGGTCATAAGGCAAAATTAACCCTTGCGGCACAGCATCCCCTAACTACCCTGAACTGGATAAAGTTTTCGGCTCACTGTTCGACCATTGAAGTAGTTTTCCTCAAGGTGATTGAGGATGCTGGGATATCGTGATGTTGCATTTTGTACCCTAGTCCTTTGTGGTGTATACTGTCGACGGCTTTAGTACGGTCAGTTGACAGCATCGCAAGTGTTCTTTATTGGCCAACGCCTCGCACGCATAGTGGACTGTTCTGAGGATTTGAGTAGCAGTTCCTTTTCCTTTGAGAAATCCGTCTTGGTAGTTTGGGATTACCTTTTCTAACTGGTGGTTTAATCTACTGAGGATCACCTAATCTAATCCGTTTAGCTTTTGCCATTATATTAAAAATAGTAATTGGGCGAAATCATTTAGGATTTGTAATGTCCTTACGAGATTTATGCAGAAAAATGTAATAACCTTGTTTGCATCGCCTGTAGTAAGGATAAAAGATGATCACATGCAGAAGGATCACTTTCATCATTAGTCCCATAGATTTAATACAAAGGGCTTGTATTCCCTCGGTCCAGTTGCTTTCTTGTTTAGTTATTTTGTAAAAATAATTGAATTTTTACGGTTAGAATAGTCATCATTCATACGAGACGACTTTGAGTGTATGTCTAAAATAAACACTCGTGTAGAATTACATCCTTTTGCTCTTCCTCCCCATTTGATGTATGCTGGTATATATGGGCCTGTGTTGGTGGAGAAAAAGGCCAAAAACGCAAAATGAAAATCGCTCAAACGTGTTTATTTGACGTTTCAAAGGATATTG